AAATATTTTTTTTAAGTTGAAAAACTTATTATGGTGATTGTAAACTACACTTTCCAAACCTGGAGACCAGCAAGTTTCAAAAAACGTACTCAAAATTCAAAAATGTTTAATAAATTCATTCAGAATTTCCTTAGGTTTTTATGTTTTTGTATTATTCATCTTTCCACCTTACCAATCCTTCAACCACGGTTTTTTCTTTTCCTTCATCAATTTCTTCATCTTTGAGAAAAGTAATTAAAAAACCAATTGCACCACTAGAAAGGATATTAAATGGAGTACGTTTTTTTAACTTGCTGGTCTCCAGGTTTGGAAATTGTAGTTTAGAATCACCATAATAAGTTTTTCAACTTTGAAAAAAAATATTTTTTTCAAAGTTCTCGCTAATAAAACACTTATTTCACGAATGTTTACAAATTTTTAGTATTGATCACATCTTATAGGAAATTTAACGTCGTTTTCAATGGTATCAACGGATTTGTCCAAAACCGTTTAGTTTTGGAGTTATCATTGTTTATTTATTTGAAGCAAGGTCGTGAAATCTTAAAAAATCAGAAAAAGCGGAATAACTCCGAAACTGTTGAGTTTCGGACCATAGTTAATTAGGAATTTTTGGTTCCTTTTTGAATGCAGAATCTACTGGCAAAGTTTGTAACACGAGTACCCGAAAACCCTGCTTACGATATTCCATACGTATAAATTTGTTCAACTTCGTCATGTGAGAAACGGCCATACAGTTGTAAAATTGTGTATCGTTTCAACAGGTTTTATTAAATAATATAATAATCCTTATAATAATGATAATAATGTTCATTTTGCAAAATAAATTACAATCAGAACCTTTTTAAATTTCAATTCACCATTTTTAACTTCAAATAAACCCTTTGTAACTTTAAATTAACCCTTTTTACCTTTCAAATAACATTTTGTAAGATCAAACTAACCATTTTTAATTTTAAATTATACTTTTCTTTATTTCAAATCAACCATATTAACAAAAATTAATTTTTTAAAAATTTCAACTTCCCTAGCTTCGTATCAAACTTTACACAGACCCTCAGATCCCACTTGTCCTCGAAACTTCATAAATTTCTGGAACCTTATCCCAACATCCTAGTTCAAAACTATCCCTGCCCGCCATGCTTATCGCAATTTCCTGCTTAGTAAGGACGGTGAAAAACAGTGTACTTAATGGATTACTTCTCCACTCTTATAATGCTACAACCCAATAAAAGATAATAAAGTTTGAAATATTGAAATTATTACACTTTTCAGCAAAGTTCGTACGGTTCCAACCCGTCCACGAACGCTATATGAACCAGACATCCAGATAATAATTAATCACGATGTTCCTCCCTAAAAAGAAACCATTTTCATAACATTTCCATCTTGGAAAATCCCCGGGATTTCTTTTCCCGGAGGATATCTTTTAATAAACCTGTCACCCCAATATCCATAATTTCAAGAGGCCTTTTAAAAGAGGGCGGTTTGCAGCCTGGTAAGCCGGAATCTTCTCCACCGAGAAATTATTAAATCGTTTATAATGGAACAAAAATTTCCAAAAAAGGGTATATTAAAAAAAATCCTGCGCCAGTTTTACCTGACCAAAATTGACATCTAGCGGACACACATACACTTTGATTTGATATTTTAAGTTAAGTCAATACGAACAGAATCTGTCGAATTATGTATGTTTCAAATATTTGTACATTTTCAATTGAAAACATCCAATTCAGTCGATTTATGACAAATGGGGAAAACATTCCAAAAATGGTTCAGATACTGCAAGAAGAAAAAACTTCGCCTGTGCTTTTTAAGACTTTTGGTATTTCGTTTATACCAATATTAAGCTCAGCTGAATAATTTTTTTGCGGTTATTTATGAAATTAAAGTTGATGGAAAATTTTCGCCCTATGCAGTGTCTATTTTTAATTGGTCCACAGGAAAACACAAAACCTGTAAAATATATCTATCTAGCTAATATGTAGCATTTTACGTCAACCCTTTTCAACTCGAAATTCAACATTAACATTCAAATGACCATTAAATAAAAAATTTTTTTGTCAAATTAAAAATTTTTATGTTTAAATTAACTTTTCTTTTATTTTCAACTAAACCCTTTTTTTAACTTTAACAACATTACATTTTATATTTGATTTTATGTAACTTTTAATATTAATTGTAATTAATTTTCATGTGGAATTTTAGATAAGAACCTAGATAAAAATATTTTATTTTGACTCAAAATTTTATATATTTTTTTATTTTTAATGCAATGAAAATTCACATAATCTTCTTAAAGTACAATTAATTTATAGTTTTTTCGTTTTTTATGTTCACTTTATCCCCTTTTTCACTTTTAATTAATATTTTCTTTATTTCAGATTAACCCTTTTTAACTTCAAATTAACTTTTTATATATTTCAACTTAAACCTTTTTAAAATCAGTCACCCGTATTAACTTCAAATTCCCTCTTTTTTCCGTTCAATTAACTCAGTTTAGAAACCAGGTTTCTAGAGAGATTCAGGCCCCACACTTCCCAACACTTCCCAATAGGGAATGCGAGCTACAAACTAGCACCCAGCAGACTTGTCTAATCGTCCAAAAAAACTTATCCAGTTGAACTCACCTCACCAAAAAACACTTCAAAAAACGCTGGGCTGACAAAGGGACGTCCTAGTTTCCACAACACACCACTGTCATACACTTATTAAACCAATATACCTCAAAACTTCGGTTTTTTTCCCGGAGCGGAAATTCTTGTTTGTTACACGTTTTATAGTCAGGTGATCTCTCACAATTACTATTAAAAGTGATATAAAATCAAATATAAAAAGAAATTTTTGTATAGTTGAAAGGGGTTAAGTTCAAAATAAATAAGATTAATTTAGAGTGAAAAGAGGCAAATTTGAAGTTAACTACGGTTAATCTGAAATTAAAGTAAGTTAATTGAACGGAAAAAAAAGGAATTTGAATTGAAATGAAATTAACTTTTTAGATATTTCAACTTAAACCTTTTACATATCAAAGTCACCCTTATTAACTTCAAATTCCGCTTTTTTCCGTTCAATTAACTTACTTTAATTTCAGATTAATCCTTGTTAACTTCAAATTTGCCTCTTTTAACTCTAAATTAATCTTTTTTATTTTGAATTTTACCCTTTTTAACTATATAAAAATTTATTTTTATATTTGATTTTATATCACTTTTAATATTAATTGTTTATAATTTACATGTAGAATTTTCGATAAGAACCAATTTAATATTTTAATTTTTTTCAAATTAAAATAAGTATTTTAAGTAATAAAATAAATTGATAATAAGTAATAAGTTAATACGTAATTTTATTATGTTTTCCATTTTTAATTTCAAATTAACTCTTTTTAACTTCACATTAACCTTTTACGATTTCTAATTTTCTTGTTCAAATTCAATTAACTTTTTTTAATTTCAATTCATCTGTTTCAAATTTAAAATTAAACATTTTAATTTCAAATTAACACTTTCTTTAAACCTTTAAAAAACCTAGCTATGAAAAATAAACAAGTAAGACAAATTCCTGTTTATTTGTTATTTTTTTAAATATTAAAATTATTAGGCTTTTAGAAGACCACATAAAAGTTAATTTCAATTCAATTAAAAACGATATAAAATTAATTATAAAAAATGAAGGTTTTTTGTTAATTTGGATTTTTTAAAGGTATCAAACGAGTTTTTATTTAACATATCACATGAAAATTATTTACAAATAAAATTAGTTATATAAAATTAAATATAAAAATGAATCTTTCTTGTTAATTTACATTATTTAAAGATATAAAATGAGTTTTTATTTAAAATATCACATGAAAATTATTTACAAATAAAATTAGTTATATAAAATTAAATATAAAAATGAATCTTTCTTGTTAATTTACATTATTTAAAGATATCAAATGAGTTGTTATTGAAAGTATCACATGGAAATTATTTACAAATAAAATTAGTTATATAAAATTAAATATACAAATGAATCTTTCTTGTTAATTTCGATTATTTAAAGATATCAAACGAGTTTTTATTTAAAATATCACATGAAAATTATTTACAAATAAAATTGTTATATAAAATTAAATATAAAAACAAATCAATCGGTTTTACATTTACTTGGTTAAAACTTTAAATTATAATTGGTATAATTTTCATGCCGTAGTTTTTTTTTCAATTTTAACATTAATAAAATCTATTATTTTTTAACTATTTTTATACCATTTTTAATTTTAATTGTAACTGATTTCGTTTGGTTTTATAAGAATCATTTATTTTCGGTTTAAACAAACATCGTAAATATACAGGAATTTTATTTTACTTTATTACGTTTACCATCTCCCAAGTTTTTTTTAATGCTTTGAAGAAAGGAGTAATTTGAAATTTTTAAAAATTAATTGTAGGTTAAAAAGGTTTAGGGCTGTACTTTCTTAGACACATTTTACATACAGAATTGGACGATAAAATTAGAGGCGATAGATATTTGTGCGTGGCATAAATGTGGTAAGATCCCTGCCACAATCCTTTTTATTCCCTTATTTAATTTAAAGGCCGAACTGAATGTACAAGTGGTAAAGTGCCCGCGGTTCTTATTTTATTTCACTTTAAGGGTGGCAACTTCGCTCTCGATTAGCTGCTTTGCCAACTGCAGATACGCCTCCGTACTTGAGAACTTGAATAGGCGTTGGCATGGTGTCAGTAGTAATGTAGGGTCACTAATCATTATTTACGGTTCCTCCCGTTCAAACATCCTGCCCTACCGTCTCCCTTCCGTTCGGAGGCGAAGGGACGAATAAAGGCAGACAACCGATCTAATTACTTTTATCCAAGGCTTTACACAGATCGGACGATAATTATCTGAATCGGAAATGGTGGGTTTGAAAACCTACAACGCACTTTTAAACGATATGGCACCTGGACAAAACACATATTCATGATATAAAAAAAAAAAAATTATGGAAATTTGGTACTCACAGCCTTTCCACGGCGGCCAGATCTTGAAAAGCGCCTTTTTCGATCGTGTGGATCTGGTTCCCAATCAAGTTCCTGTAACAGGAAATCATGCGATCACATGCTCATGCTTCAAATTGTGCAATTTACAGAAAAATAAAAGAAAAAAATAAGCTACGTTTATTATAGTCTACATATGATAAGTATTTGTACAAATAGAAGCTTTTCGTATTTCAATTTATGGCTGTGAGATGTGACAGCTGGATCCTCCAGCAGTTTTATTTTTTGGTGTTGATTACAACTGCGGTGGACTCGTGTTTGGTGATTGGCTTTTATTTGTTTACACGACCTGCCTTAAACAACAGTAAAAACTCCCGACAGAGTGTACAGATTAAAACAAGAGAGAATTTGCAGACCCAAGGGAGTATACACATAAAAGCCAATCAATCAACACAAGTAAACTCTATTGCACTGAAAGCACTAAATCGTTATTATTTCTATTAAACAATTTATTTTATTTCGAAATCGAATAAGTTCAAAAGCTATCATAACACAATGAAGTGGTTGCTTGTAAAATAAAACGTAAAGCCGAAACGTGGTTGTTATTTCAAAAAACGCGAGACTATGCGGATGCAGTGAAATTCCTGACTCAAATCGAATGGCTGAAATAAAATAAAAAGATCGCGTGCAATATGCACCCACCTTAACAGACAGATAGTGTAAAAAAGAGAAGAACCAATAAGCTCTTAAAAAACCATTATGGCACCAGGAGGATTGATTTGAGAATGTAGCTTTGTCTAAACTTCATCTTTGACCGAAGGCTTTCTTGTAATCGTGCCGTGGTGGGAAAATCTTGGATTGAATCCATGTCTCTACAGTTAAGCACTGCGGGTATTAGACTAATGATAACCTACGGTCGGTCGTTTGTTGGACAGAATTAGAGGTTGGAATGGTATGGATTCTCAGTACTGCCCAGAGGCTAGTGTGACTAGACATTACTGGGGTAATGAGGACAACAACCACTGTTGCTCTGAAGGTCCTCATGAATCTACCTCTACATACTTCATCTAAGAAAAATCTAGAGCGACAATTCAAAGGGAGGAACTTCAGTGGATAAGGTTCACGGGGATGCTTGTTGACGCCATGATCCCAAAATTCAGATTTTATGACAAATTAAAAAAAACGATAAAGCAGACTAGGGAAAAGGGATTAAAGTTTAAGCCGACTATATTTGGTATACAGGTGGCCTCAATATAAAATGAACCAAAGAACCTGATACCGGAAATAAATCGAGGACTCGAATGGGCAGTATGTCATTGTATTTGACAATGACAAAAAAACTGTTGAACACTGCACCTGGGACATTGAAAAGCTAGGTATTACCAGCAGAAGGATAGCCATTTATTCGGTGCCAGGTAGTACTGAAGCCCAGAGTTGTTGGTTACTAGGGCATATAGGGCTGAAAGGCAACGACGACCCCAGCAGTGGAATTTAGAAAACTGGCTATTTTCTCAACGGTAGTAAAGTCCAGAACAGTTTCGGATAGCACAGGCCTTTCATATATTGGGAACAACACCCTTGTTCGGGTACCAGTGCGATGAGGACACCAATCAAACGTGAATCCTTTTGCAACATTCCTAGACACTGTTGACTTTGGAGGCATACTGCCTCAGAACAGCAGTACCAAGCCTCTGCAGATTTTACAGGAAGACAGCGGAAATTGTCTTTCGTTCGTGCGAAGGCCTTTGCATGCTGGGATTCCTCTGGAAATGGAAAACACAAGGCCTGATGGATATACCAAAGGGCTTTTGAGAAAGCTTTGAGTGTAAATCGCTTTAAGCCTAACGATGAGCTCTAGGCGATAAAGATAGCACAATAAACAATCGTCAGGTTGCTCATGGACGTAAAAATGGTTGACTTCTATTCCGTTAACATAATCCTGGGGAAGACCAACTGAACACGGTGCGTAAGGATCAAATGAGACTCAGATTAAAAGAAATGTAAAACATAAAAGTAGGTATAAAACACGCATCAATTGGGTAAGAAATTGACGTTTGAGATCATAATATTTTATGACACATACTCTGCTAGAAAATTAGGGATTTTTATTGCTTAGAAAATAGAAAAATCAATCCTATATTCACTGCTAAACGATGTTTTATCTGAGTAGAAAAAGTGATAATCATGCTCGAGGGAAATCAGCGCGATATGTTGTGAACAAAACAGCATCTCAGAAGCAGATAAGCAGGTGTGCCAGAGGCGTTTTGCCAAGTTTCGAGGAACGTTTGCATTGAAAAACAAAGATCAAGGCACGGCAACAACCTTAAACCTTTTATCGAGAATGATTCGATAACGTGGACATTGAGAGGAGACATGCCCGGCGTTTTGTACCTACAGAAATTTGAGTACCTACGAGTTTTTAATTTGGGTTGTCTATCTCCAGGGAATGTTCAAAATATATAGGTTTTTAAACTTCAAATTAGCCTTTCTTAATTTCAAATGAAACATTTCTCTAAAGCGTAAAAACATAAGTGGTATGAAATATAAGCGTGTAAAGTAAAATTAGTGGCTTTTTGCTATTATTTTTTATTTTTATTTTTTTACGATGGTTCGCCCTCAGAGTGTTTTTGAAAAAAAGCCCAGTAAGTATGTCTGGTTCGAATGCAGGGCCGCTGGATTCGAACCCGGGACCTTTCCTAACAGAGAACTGTAGGTGTCAACGCCTAAACCGTTGCGGCCACCGACGCCCCCCTTTTGCTACTATTACTATCATTATTATTTAGCACAATTTTTTCAAGTCAAATCACCTTTTTTTACCTTCAATTAAACGGTTTTTAACATTTTAAATGAACCTTTTTTAATTTCAAAGTAATCTTTTAAAATGTATTTATTCCTTTAAATTGACCCTTTTTTAATTTAAATTAAGCATGTAAAATAATATTCCTGGATATTTGCAATTTTTTTAATATAATTTTTTTGCCTCAAATCAACTATTTTTTTACTTCAAATTAACTGTTTTTAAAATTTCAAATGAACCATTTTAATTTCAAATGAGCCATTGTTAATTTAAAAGTAATGTTTTTATATTTTAATTAAACTTTTTTAACTTCAATTTACACTTTTTTCAATTGGAAATTAACAATTTTTTACTTCAAATTAACTTTTTTTAAATTTCAAATGAACATTTTTTAACTGCAAAATAAAGTTTTTATATTTGAATTAAACTTTCTTAACTTCAAATTAAACTTTTTTCAATTAAAAATTAACCATTTTTAACTTCAAATTAACCTTTTCTTTAAACGATTAAAAAAGTTAGCCGATGGTATGAAATATAAACATGTGAAGTAAAATTGATGGATATTTGCGATTTTTTTCAATATAATTTTTTTTGTCAAATCCTCCTTTTTTGAACTTCAAATTATTTTGTTTAATACAATTATATTATTACATGCAATATAAGCATGTAAAGTAACATTATGATTTTTTTACATATCATTTTTTCATATCAAATCCACCTTTTTTAAGTTCAAATCATTTTGTTTGATATAATTACATTATTAGTTACATAATAAAAAAATATTTTTTTAATATAAAATAATTGAGCTCTTAGAAAACCATATCAAAATTAATTGCGAGTAATATGAAAAATATGTAAAATTATATATAAAAATAAAAGAAAAATCACTCTAACGAATGTTTGAAAAACATATTTATTCGTTTAAACTACCCCTTTTTATCTACAAAATATTTTTTTTACTTTGAATTTAATCCTTTCTTTAAAGCATAAAACAATTCATCTGTTGAATCATCTAGTGAAATTAGAGGAATTATTGGCAATAATCTCCAGATAAGGTCTTTTTCTTTTCAGAACTGGAAAGAAAAAACTTAAATATATAAATCCATATTAATATAGTTATTGTTTCCGGCCTGATTTTTATTTGGTAGAATATAACCTCACCTTCTAAGCATACAAAGGAAGAAAAATCCAGTCGACCAGGAAGGGAAATAGGTCTATTGCGATTAACTTTGCGTTTTGATTGATTTTTTTTTCTTTCCGGAAGTGAAAGAACGGTTGAAGGCTGGGTTAAATTTTTTGCCTAAAATACGCTAAGGAATTTCACCAAATATGACCAATTTGGATTAACATCTAACAATAAGACAGATTAGTCATATTGAAGCAGTTATTCAAGATTGAAGAAATTCAGGGCCAAAGTTCAATGCTACTATGAAAAATCAGGCCAATTGAAAGCTGAGGAGAAATTGTTTTTCAATGTTAACAGAAAATACCTTCGGTTCAATTCTTGGATTAGCTTCCAAATATTAATTATTGATTAATGAACTAACATTACTTCCTGATCATTTAGATAACGTCTATTATTTAAATTTAACTTATTTTCAACCTTTTTTTGACTTATAAATCGTAATTATTTTTGATTTAAAGACAGACAAAAAATAAACCAAACCTGTTTTAATACCTAGATAATAGATCAGGGAAAGCCTTTAAAACATTATTTTAATCGATATTATTTTCAATATTCCTTTTTGGCTTTATTTTGTAAAACAAAATCAATATAATTAATGTCGGTGTGTGTACAAGAAATATTCGAAAAAATAATTACACGCTCGCCTAGAGAATGGGCGCCGAAGACGACTCTATTAACATTCAAAATACCTCTCGATTAATATTAATCTTGGTTTAAATACCTAGAATTAATCATATAATAATAGTAGCATTTCGAATGAGTTTGGTTTTGTAACAGTTTCTTTTTTCATCTGTTGTCCATTTGATTGTAGGTCAGATTTAAAGAATACACTAAATTAACTTCAATGAGACGACGTCAGGGAGGTTCGTTTCATCATATCCATTAAACTTTCTCCATTCCTATTGAAATATCGGCGTTTAAATAATTAGAGAATTTATTGTGCAATACTTCAAATCTTGCCAATTTAATATATCGGGGTACACAACAATGATACGTGTTAGGCCAAGTCAGCGAGAATAGACGGACCCAAGATCTGCAGATGAATCACAGGGTAATCAGTAATTTAAACTGATCGACTCACATTCATGGGGCTAGTCTTGACGGTGTACGTTT